TTTAGTGCTATTGTATGGTGGCCCAGTGTTATAATAGTTTATCACAAACTTGTCTTCGACGTGGCCCACTGTTATAATACATACATAAACATAACCATTTACCGCTGGATATGGTGGCCCAGTGTTATAATAGTTTATCACAATTCTCGACTTGGCCCACTGTTATAATACATAAACATAACCATATACCGCTGAATATGGTGGCCCAGTGTTATAATTGTTTATCACAATTCTCGACGTGGCCCACTGTTATAATACAGGTGTAATACATAAAACTTAACCATATACCATACACACGTCCATAGACCGTATACCATAGACCATATACACGTCGAAGACTTGTGATAAACTATTATAACATTGGGCCACCATATTCAGCAGTATATGGTTATGTTTATGTATTACAAAAGTGGGCCACGTCGAAGATTTGTGATAAACTATTATAACACTGGGCCACCATACTATTGCTTATTCTGTACTATAGTAATTGTGACTTTCGTCATAAATAGTGGTGGATATTAGACTATATTTTCATAGTTCAGTATTGAAAAGAAGTTAAACACTTTTTTTAAATTACTAGTATTTGTTATGGGTGGAAGGATTACATGGATTGCTTCTGGTGATGATGATCTGCGTGTGAGACTAGACAGTTTGAAATCCTTTTTTATATAGACCCTATATGTATCTCTAGGAAGAGGATCCGACTGTTGATACGAAGTCAAAGGAGTTGAAGAATGTAAGAGTAACATGCCGTACATGTAAAGGAGACCATTGGACAACAAAGTGCCCCTATAAGGACAGCATTGTTCCGATTGAGCTAGAAAATGATAAAAAACCAGGTTAGTTATCTTCTCCTTCTTAGATCCTTCAGTCTCCTGGGAGACACAGGTCACGAGTTAGTTATCAGTGGAGTTATAAAAGAGACCGCATGCTGCTTTTACTCGTTAACCAGAAAATTTGATTATGCATGTGTTTCAGTGAATTAGGTAAAGTGGGGCAGTAAACTGCTTGCGTTATATGACATAGCATCTAACAGTAACCAGGGTGTGAAATTAAAGCGAGTCTGGAGTCAAATACTCCCTGATTTACTGTCGGACTCCCTGATGTCCCGGTAACGCTACATACATTCGCAGGTCAAGAAGCAGCCAAGCAAGAAGTTCCGCCTGTGCGCACAGGCAAATACGTGCCGCCTAGCATGCGTGCGGGGGCGGAGCGCGGCAAGGGTGAATCGATGAAGGACAGTCGTCGTGACGAGCAGGCAACGATTCGTGTCACTAATCTGTCGGAAGACACGAGGGAGTCGGACGTACAGGAACTCTTCAGAAACTTTGGCACTATCTCTAGAATCTACCTTGCCAAAGACAAGCAGACCCAGATGTCTAAGGTAAAATGATCTTGTAACACCATGTTATGCATCAAGTTGTCGGTAACTCAATTAATTTTTCATTTATTATATGGCAAGATAAGTTTTATTACTTGGTTGATTGTCGGATAATGTTATATGGTTAGCATTTCTTGGTCTTGTTGGTTTATTTAATGACATTTCTCATTATATTAGTAGTACTAATAGTCATATTAAGCACAAACGTTATACACGGTTTTTACTTGCAAGTTTTTAGCTCATCTGACGAAGTCGGATGCAGCTTGTAGAATCGCATGAGCGTGCGTCCGTCCCTTCGTCCGTGCGTTAACAGTTGGGCACAAATCTTAACCGCTCGACGTACGGTCACGATATTCGGGACGTTGGGGGGGGGGACCGTGAAAAGGACTCGGGATGACCAATTTGGGGGTCAAGGGTCAAAGGTCAAGATGTGTCAATGGAGGGGGAATATTTCCCCCTTAATTT